CCCAGAGCACTGGACCCCGGACCCCGGACCCCATACCCAGTCTCTGTCTCATCTGCATCTCTGGCCACTCAATCCACTTCTGTTGCACATTTCAATAAAACTCCTTTTTGAGACTTCAAACTCTGGTCTGCACTTGAGTTCTCGTTACCAGCCCTGACACATCTATTGTAAGATTGAAATCAGCATACCATTTGCATCGAAGATACTCTAAGTTCATATTGCTAGCAGAGTTGAGCTCAGCATACCCCCGACCGAGAACTGCTATCTTGCCTCTACCAAGAAGTAAACGTTCCATCTGTGAAGTCTGACAGTCAAAGTCATACCTGCTTTGATTCTGATAAGCTGCGAATTTGCAGATATCTGAAGAAGCAAAATCATTTTTTAATGAATAGCCAATTTGCAAAGTACAGAGTCCTTTTTTCTCCCTACTATTTTGTAGGCTAATTATTTTATCCCCTCTGTCATATTTTGTCTGTTTGAAAGTGCAACTCTCAACAGTTTGGACCAATTTCTTAACAAAGAGTTAAAATAATCTAACCAAGAGAGCAATGTGTGAGTTTACAAGCTTAAATTCAACGAATTAATTTTGTTTTTGTAGCCACCTTCCCCGGCCAAAACACAATATACATACAGTGTATATATATATATATCACTCATTAACAATTCAGTACAAAGTTTCACAATATCCACTTGATGAGTCTCATCTTTGTGTCAGTTCCTTTGGTGTACAACAGTGTGTTATCTGTGTGCTAAAGTCTGTATTAATGGATGGGGAATACAATGGGTCCTAAGGAAATAGTTTTGAAATAATAACCGTAAGAAGGAAATGATTCATTACTTATAGAGGGAAGTTGCCATTCTCAGGCCGAGTAACCAGATGAGATAGTTTTGAATTTGAATTCTCAGAACAATTGCAAAACTTTTGCAGGTCTAATGGCATTTCTGAGAATGTCTGAGATCCTACTTATTGTCATATAGTGTTTGAATTATTTCACAACTTTTATTGAAAAATACCAGTGCCAATACTCAGTACTGGTCAGACACTGATTACAGTAATAAAAAAACTCATGAGCCCTTGTCATCTGGTGTGGATGTGTAACTCCACAAAGAGTCACATCATGTCAGTTCAAGTCTCAATAATGAATAATAAAATAATGAAAGGTTATTGAGCTTTGTGTCTGTGGATATTAAGTGTCCAAAATTACACTATATTTACATTTACAGCTTCTTTTAAAGTGGATTTGTCCTCGTGTGTGATTTTGGCTACAGGATGAATGGACTGGCAGACTAAGGGATGTGCCGGGGTTAATGGCTTTATGAATGTCACTGACACTGGTGATATTCCCAGGAAAACTGAAAAAAATAACTCCAATTCATTCCAAAGCAAAATCTCCACAAACCCAGCTGACAATGACCTGAGTCTATGTCCTACTTAGTGTCCTTGACATGGAAAGTGTAGGGAGACAGGGCAGACGTGAAATTAATGAAGGTGTCACACTGTGGGGAAGGGCACGTGGAAGGAGGCTCGTAGGCTAATTGGTTATCTGATGCAATGTCGGTGTAACCCCACTCGTGTATCTTCCACACAGTCAGAGCCCGGCACTATTTAGGCTACACATAAAGGAGCTTGGTGGAGTGAAAGGAAGACGATAAGTCCAAGTGTATGAAGAGCAAAAAAGACCGTAGAACGTCTATTTTCTATTAAATAAATCACGTTATCACTAAGCTATTTCTCATATAAGTTCAAAATGGCTGTACTTGGTTAGCCGTCGGATTTTGGCGACGCCGGCTATCTTGAAGCTGGCTTATTTCGCTTTTGTTTTAAAATCACCTGCATGTACCCTAATAAATACCCTGTATAACTGGGGAAACAAAGCTCCGAGCGGCACCATTTTGGCTCTTTGGGCGCTGTTTGAGCGTTGAGCTAGCTTCAATAAAACGAGCTTCCTAGTGGCGCCCTTTCAAAATTAAAGCCTCAGTGAAGAACATATATTGACGCGCTATCTACAGTCACTGTGACTTTTATTTTCCTGCACTCGAGCTCTGCACTTCCGGTTGTATGCCAGCTAACCCGAGCTAACCTGACGCACCTCCGTCTGACTCCCCCACCTCGGCGTGTAGCAACAGCGCCCTCTGGTGGCCGGCCCCGGTATAGCCAACATGTCCGCTCAGACTGGTCCTGATGCTGCGAGGATGCAGAGGAGCGATACGAGGGGATATGAAGTATGTAAACCGTGCCAGGCCCGGTTTATCCTGGCGCAGTCTCTGTGGCGCAATGGAATA